AGAACCGCCACGCTCCACTGCTCATCAACAGCTGAGCTGTAGAGGTGGTCAGCAGCTCCAAATCTGGGGGTGCACATCCCAGAAACCCTCACCTGGACTGTAAACACCACCTCACTTATCAAAAGGACTTCTGGGTCACGACCTTCTACAGAAGCAGTGCAGAGAGCGTTCTTACCAGCTGTCTCACTGTGTGGTGTGGAGGCTGCAGCTCCTCAGACTGGAAGAAAGTAAGAAATACATTTCTTCCCAGCGATGCGTGTCCAAAGCCCATGACATCATCAAGGACCCCTCGAACCCCGAACATGGACTGTTCTCCCTGCTGTCCTCTGGGAAGAGACTTTGAAGCATTCGATGCAGGTCCAGCAGATTCCAGAACAGTTTCTTCGCCACTGCCATCAGACTGCTGAACTTTTGAGAAAACTCTTAATCGTTTTAAAGACTCTGCATCAAACTAACAACACAGTGTTTATATTTGATCAGTGCTGCATTTAATGAAAGCTGGACAAATGAAATTTCTTTTTGTATACACTCTGTGTATACAAAATGACAATAAAAGTTGTTGAAGTCTCAGTCTAAAAAAGGATATAAGAAGGTACAGAAGAGGAAAAGAGAGAAAGATTAATGGAAAGATGGAAGAATGATAGGATATACAGAATAAAATACACAAGAAGAATGGAGGAGAGGAGACTTGAGAGGAAGGAAAAAGGAGACAAGGAAGATAGGAAGGAAAATAATATGGAGAAATAAAGAAAAACTGATAAAGTAGCAAATTATAGAGCATAAGAAAAAAAATTAAGAAAGAAAGGCACAAAATAAGGAAATTAAACAAAGAAGACATTAATCAGGAAGTTTATAAGATATGTTAAAAGTAAGGAAACAAAGAAATGAGAGAGGAAAGTTTCAACGAAGAAAATACAAAAGAAAGAATTAGGGAATGGAGAGACACTATTTTTTTCTATTTTTATATTCAAACAAGTAGGGTCTTTCTATCAAATTTCCAACTTCTTTTCTGTATACGCCATGTATGAATCATGCAAACCTTCACTTAAAATACTGTTCTGCCCTCATGTCATTGGTAGTGTCTATGTTTTAGTCTGGATTAAGTCCAACTGTTTTTTTAAACTCTCAGTTAGTGGTAGTCTTTGCTTTGTGGTAGCGCTGCCATGTAGTTCCAATGTCCAGAAATAACCTGCTGTGTGTTTGAAGTCTTCAAGACATCTAACCACAGCAGCTGAGATCTAAAGTAGATATCTACATATACTAATTTTCTCTTTTGGGTCAAAATCTTGTAATAACATAAGAAAAATTGTATTATAAAATAGACTGTTGTAACATCCCGGTAATATTTTAGATAATGTAGAAGGTAAGTTTAAGCTTTTATAACATGAGAAATATTTACGTTAGAAGTTATTAAATCATATGCTGATGAAGTTATGTCCAATAACTGCAATTTCTAGAAGATGTAGAGTGGAAGACCATAGTTTGCCCTCATGACCTCCGATTTAAAAGTTTACAGTGTGTTTATTACAGATCTGAAATCTCAAGACTGGGCAAAGTTGAGCTTTTGTCTCAGGTTTTTGTCCTGTCTTCACATCCCCATCCCATGTTGGCTCTCCTGTTTCCGTAATGAGAAATCAGCCTGTTCTCTAAGCACTTCCAAGACTTCCTGAATTGTCCTGCAAAGGAAACAAGCGATGTTTACCTCCGCTATTAAGACACATGCTACATTTAAAACAATTTTCCCAGCCAAACTAAAGGTAGGCTTCGTCAGAAAGGGACAAAACATCGTTGTTGAAGGAACGGTGGTGGGAAAATTCATGTTGTTTGCTTTGTTGTCTACCTCTGGGATGTCACAGACGGCCTGGTTGATGTACCTTCCTGGCGCAGCTTTGACCTGGAAAACACATTAATGGATGCTGCAAACACACTGTAAACCACTTAAGCTCTAGTCTACAGATGTAGGTCAGTAAGATGAATCTTTACAAGTTCATAAACATATAACAATCAGCAGATTTGTTTGTACGACCCAATTCTGCAACAACATAATTCAAAAGGCTTTGCACTGGCATTATAAAGGGGAAAAAAGTTAGACTGAAAGTAATTTCTTCAGATAAAAAACAGAGATGATGCTAAACAAATTGATTTTGCCCTTAAGCGATAGCTGCTTCTCAAAGTTAAGTTTCTATCCTAGTCTCTTTCCCTTTTTACATGTACAGCTCTTTTAACGGTCTTGCTACTGAAATGTGCTGTATAAATAAACTTGCCTTGTTCTATTCTAGGGATGTGTAGGAGGACCAATGTAGAGGTTGAAACAACATCACCAGATCTTTAATTTATTTTGGTGTTGACCAAGATAAATCGCGGAAATTCATCTCTAAAAATCTATTATCTGACGTACGGGGAGCCAGTGGAAGGACTTTTTTTAAGCGGTGATCGGCTCCACTTTCTTGGTTTTAGTGAGGACGTGGGTAGTAGCATTCTGCATCAACTACAGCTTCGGCTACAGCGTCGTCATTTTAGGCAAAACTGTCAAGATATGGTTGCAGTAATAAATTCTACTAAAGATAAATGCATAAATTAGTCTTTGAGATTCTGTTGAGACGTTAGTCTCCTGGAGATGTTCCTCAGATGATAAAAGGCTGACTTTGTAATTTTTATTTTTTTTTAGGCCTATGAAGGTTTAGGTCTGAGTCAATCACTACACCCAAATTTTGGGCCTGATCTGTGGTTTCGTGCTGTATTAGCTGACACTTGATTGGTACAAAAATAACCCCTTTGTTTGTTGTATATATATATAATTAGGCACATCTATGCAATGATTTTTGCTTGAGTAGGTTAATTGCCACCTGTTCACTAGATAATGTAGAACTGTTGGTTGTCTGCATAGATATCGTAACTTATCTTTTAGCAGCAGATAGACCAACCTAGTTTTGTTGTTGTTCCAGTAATATGTCTTGATCCACAGTGTTGAAGGTCCATTAATACCTGCTGTCTGCATTTATATGATGTCATTGACCACCTTGAAAAGGTCATTGCTGAGTTGAAACACAGCTTCTTTAAAAAAAAACTATTTACGTGGGATTAAAGAGGCACAAGTTGGCTTCTGTTATTTTATATTTTTTTAGCTAGTTAAATTAAAATTACATTTGTGAATAATCTGAAAACTGCAGTGGTGTCAAAAGCACATGCATTTGTAACTTAAGTAGAAGTATAAATACTGCTGTTAAAAAACCTTTGGTAAAAGTTGAAGTATCAACTTGACCTCTTTACTCAAGTAGAAGTGAAAAAGTATGTGCTCCAAAAACTACTTAAAGTATAAAGTAACCACTATATTAATTGAAAGCTCAATTTTTTGTCTATTTCGAAAATTTCTTTGAGATAGGGCCAAGTTGGTCTCCATCTACATCTACTGATACGCTCTCGCCTGTGTCGGGACCTTTCAGACATTTCAACATCCTTTTCTGAATCCAACATTGTAGCATGGCATAGATAATTCACGTTTACAGTTTGAAGAATGCCTGCTTGCTTCTGATGATTTCCTTTAGCTAACCAATGAAGGTTTGTGATATAGGACTCATCCAGTTACACTAGTTTTCACTAGATGTGCATGGCGTCAATGATCTGTATTGGACGCATATGACGAGAAATAAATATTTATAAACATTAAACCGAAGCCAAAAGTAACAAGTAACGTTGGTATTAAAAATGTAAGGAATAGAAAGTACAGATACTTGTTTTATAAGGTAATTAGTAGAAGTCAGAAGTAGTAAGAAAAATAAGTAATGGAGTAAAATATAGATACCTAAAAAGTGTACTTAGGTACAGTAACAAAGTATTTGTACTTTGTTACTTGATACCTCTGGAAAACTGTTTCATTGCGTTTATCAACTGGGTTTGGAAAATATGCAGGCCCTGGAAGAGGTGTGGGGTCTCTGTGTACTGTAGACAATAAGTTAAATAAGTTGGTAGGTAAAAGTGTAAGGAGAAATTCTGGACTTTCGCTCTCAAAAACTGGGAAGAAGGTGGAGAGTAGATCCCAGTATCTGGATGAAGTTTCTATTTTTTAAGGTACTCCAATTATTAGACAGGTTGGAAATTGCAGTACCCAGAGATATATTTGGCTTTGTCCAAGTACTTTAAATATATTTTGAAACCAGCAAGAAAGAATGAAATTGCTAAAACGGAAAGGGAAACTGGAAGGTGCGCAGAATGAGATTTCTCCAAACAAGAATTAAGATTACAAGGACAACAGGAAGAACATAGTGGTACCAGGAGGAATTCTGCCCTTTTTTAATCTACTCTAAACAGGAACTGAAAGAAATGAAGGAGAATGGGAAGAGTACCCAGAAAAGCATAGTCATACCAAAGTATTTGAAGCAAGCTTTTGGTCTATATCATTCACATATTAATGGCAATAGAAAAGTGGAATGTAAAAGTCACTATAGGGATATTGTGGATTTTTTAAGGCTTCGAAAAGAAAAGGAATCTTGGTACAAAAAGGTGAAAACTTGGGAAAAACCTGGATTTTTCAGAGGAACTTTATTGGATGAAAAATGCATAAACTATTATTGTGATTAACTGTAATATGCATATGAGTGTTTGTCCTCCAAATGCCTGTCAATGTTTGACAAAAAAAATGCAAACAAAACTTCTTTTTATGCAGCAAAACTAAATCAACTAAAAGAGTATAGGGTTTTGTTGAATAATGTACGATTAATATCCACATCTTACTGATGGGTTTCACATTTAAAAGCAACAATGTCCTTCAAAAGTCCTCCAACCGACTTTGAGGTCATTTATTTCCTAGAGGCACCCGTCATCTCTTCTTCTCTCAATCAGAACAGATTTTACGCAGCCTTTAATTAGAGCCACCTTTCAAGGCATGAGTCTGAAGAGGAGGTTGCCCTTGAACTAAAAGCAGAAATGATGAGAGAGCAGACGAGTGGGAGGGTTGAAGGTTGGGAGAGAGTGGCAGGGAGGTCTTGGTGACTGGCGGGGGGGTTAGGGGCTGAAGCAGGAGCTTGTTTCATTTTGCTCTAATCGCTCATCCAGGAGCCTGTTGCACTCAGGGACTTTTGGACTCTAGCCTGGATGTTGTAGCTCAGGGTTGGGCTTTCCTGGACTTCCTCGTCTGCTTTGCAGCAACTGTTTCTTGAGGACGCTGCATGTCTGTTGTGCAGACATGGGCACCTCTGTTTGTTTTAGGATTACTATATGCTTGGCCATCACCTTGGCTCAGGTGATTGCTGTGACCTGCCAAGAAAATACGAAGACGGGTGAGTGGCAGCTGATCACACATATATGTTCCAGAAATAGAAAGATTGACTTCTTTTGTGTTTTTATTGTAATATGAATACAATATATAAAAAGTTTTATGATTATCTTTAAATGTTTATTTAACATGTAGATATTTTTGTGCAACAGGATGTGCTTTTATCCCCAAACATTAGTCCGCTTCCTCTTGAGAAAACGCATTTATCTTAGTCAGAAGAGTTCTGAAATAGAGTTTTGCAACTAAGCACATAAAAGGTGCCACAAGTGGGAGATTTTAGCTTAGATAAGGTGAAATTATTAATGAGCCACTATGTGATAATCTGTCTATTATATAAATGATGCTTGAGGGGAAAGCAGCAGCTGTTATTTTTAAACACGTTTCCACCCAAATTGTGCTGCGGGGTCTAAAAACAAAAAATTCCCTTTTAAATCGGCAGTTAACTCTAAAGTGGAGCAGGGCTGGCTGCTCTATTTCCGTTCAGAGTCGAGGCTGAATGAAGGGGTTGGAGAGGCCAAAGTTATAATGATGTGGCATCGTGGATGGGATGGACAAAAGCAGGCCACTAATTTTGGTCAGACTGGGGGCCAGATGCAGACAAGACACACCCAGTGTGAGAAGATGCTGGATATGAAATATGCTTCTACTTCTTTTATCCCACTTTCCCTCCAGTGAAGCGTTCAAGCTGTGAGGAAAAAGTAAAAAAAGAAAAAAGAAAACATTTCTGGATGTGTGCACCAGATGTTTTGTAAGTTAGAATGATGCGTAGTAGTAGCAGCATTATAATGCTAATGGACTAATAACATAAAAGGTACTGCATGGTAAACTTTTACTGCTTTGTGTAGGGCATTTAGAATTTTTACGTTTCACAGTATATTTTCAAAGATCCTTTACAGCAGGCATCCCCAAAGTCGGTACTCGAGGGCCGCTGTCTTGAAAGGTTTTAGAGGTTTCCCTGTTTTAGCAAAGCTGATTATGATGATTGCTGTTAAGGAAATGGCCTGTTAATCAGCTTGTAATTAAAATCAGCTGCGCTGGAGCAAGGAAACCTCATAAACCTGAAGGACAGCGGCCCTGGAGGACCAACTTTGGGGATGCCTGCTTTGCAGAAATATTTTATAAAAATTTTATGTTTATTTTAAACATCAACTAGGTATCTATTTAAATATATATATATATATATATATATATATATATATATATATATATATATATATATTTAGATATATATATTTAGATTTTAGATTAATACATAAGATTTGGGAAATGTATTTAGATTTAACATTATTTTAGTGTTTAGATAGAAATTCAAGATTATATAAATATAAGACTTAGATACAAATATTGGATGTTGAAGTATATTTACATTTTTATTTAACATTTGCCACTCATCGTTAGAAAGAAAGCAAAAAATGTGAAAAAAATAATTTTCAATTAACAGAAATGTGATGGTTAAAATTTTCACATTTACCAACTATAAATAAAATAAACACTTAAAATTAGATTATTAAGCCATAATATTTGCATGATATTGCTTATACTTTCTGGCCAACAGTTAATGTGAATGTTTGAGTTTAACGTTTCTGAATTTTTTATTACAAAACCTAATTAGCTAACATTAGAGACTCTAACAGTTGTCATCCACCTTACAGCTCTACTGTTCTCGGTAACATTATTTTTTCTTAGATTATGCGGCTAATTCTGGTTTTGAAAAAAAAAAAGAGTTTAGTGACATGTTTCAGCTTGTCTGTTTTTTTAAGAAAGAAGATAACAAGCAAAATGCGCAGGTGTTGCAGTGGTTAGCGCCAACAACCCATGCACGGAGGCATTAGTCCTCGACGCGGCTGACCCGGGTTCGAATCTGGCCTGTGGTCCTTTGCCGCATGTTTCTCCCCCTCTCTCATACCCCCTGTACCATCAGAAAAACGAGCCACTGGTGCCGTAAAAAATCAATGAAAAAATGTGTTGTTAGATTTTCTTCTTTGTTCTAGTCCCTATAGCTAGCTTAACTTCAAAGCTCAGCCAGTTCACATCAGAGCAGGTTAAAATCAGGATTATGAAGTCATTTATAAGGTTTTAGGGGCTCCGGAGATCTAGATTCAAGAAACAATACTCCCCATAACCTTCCTAGGATTATCCATTGCACCCAATTTCTCCAAGAATGTATAAAAATGTTTTCCATGTGACGACATGCTGTACCGAATCTCAAAGCAACCCATGATCGATTAATTTTTGATAGACTTGTCAAAAAACAGACCACTAATGTTTCTTTATGCTGTTGCTTCACTAAAAATGGTTGCAGTCAAAAGTATTACTACTCTCAATACAAATAGCTTCAGACGTTATGCCTTTCTGATTAAATGGATATATCTGATTGCAGCAAGACGCTCAATCAATCAATATCATTACTACAAGCAAAGATTCTTTTAGGCACAATTACTAGATATTTGTAGTAATGATGTGGATTCAATGTAGGGCAACGTGACAAAAATTACAACAGCTCTAAGAAGTGAGTCTTGCCTTGGCCATTATCAGAGATCTTGTCTCCTTTTTGTGTGAGTAGGACCATGTCCTGGTGAACCTTCAAAAAAAAAACTGTTGGCATCTAGACTTTTGTAGCATTCAAGTCGTCTCTGGTGTAAGGGGAAACGTCATTTATGACATTACAGATGGTGATCTGATCAAATCAACGAACAGGTCCAGAGGGAGAAAGTATGGGTTGTTTTCTAGGTTAGATATTTCCAACTTTTGTAAATACCCACTCTGTCAGCACCTGTTATTTTCACAGACAGTTTAGCTTGACTTAAAGAAGTGGTCATGGCCATACCCCATTTCCAACATCAATCATGACACGGCCATGTGATTAGGTGACATAGTTGCTAAGAGTCATGAATCAATTCAGGAGGCCACATAATACCCACATCAACATCTAAAGCATTGTTGGTCTCAATTTTCCTTTACTAAGGTCATTTTTTATAATTCAAAAGGTAAGAAAGAGGCTAATAAGGTATGTCATCCATGGTAGGGTCCAATGCCAAAAAAAATAACAAATTGCCTTATTGTTTAAAACATCCAATGATCCTAAAGATCTTTGTGAAAAAGTTCTTTCACATATTAAAAATGGTTTTTGGTCTTGATAGTTTTACTTCATGGGGTCCACAACAACTTGCTGGGACAAATGGAACCATAAATCTTTTTCTCTACTAAAATAAAATAGAAAGAAAATACAGATGGAGAAAGAACTGGCATTGGTTTATGATTTAAACTCAAAAGGGTTAATGGGTTATTCAACCAGACATAGTTGAAAGGGGAGGAGCAAGTTTACGTCTGAATGGCTAAAAAAAGAGGAAAAAATAAGCCTTTTGAGGTGGCCAAGTCAATGTCTGGAAATCAAGGAGTTATCAGTAAGTTATTGATATGTAGGAGTGGAGGCCTGGTGGGTAGGGCTTAGAGCTTGGAATCCTGAGGCTCTGAGTTTGAGCTCCACTCCCACAGACTGCCACTCTGGGTCCCTGAGCAAGACCCTTAACCACACACTGGGCCCCATGATGGCAGCCCACTGCCCCCCAAGGGGATGGGTTAAATGCAGAGGTAAATTTCTCCAATGTGAGCTCAATTAAGTTCAATTAAAATAAATTATTTTTAGATATTACCTATTTTATATTTAAGAAGACACAATGTCAAAAGCCATAGAGAAATGTACTCATAGTAAAGGCTTTAAAAATGCCTCATTGTTACAAAGGAGAGTAAAATAACCTGACTTGATTTAATCTTTAAATATCAAATTACTACCTTAAGTCATTTGCGTGCTTTCCCCAGTGTCGTTAACCCTAGTTTGAGCACTAGGGGAAGAAAGTAAAAACCCTGATAAATCCTAAAAAGGGGTAATCAGCTACGCTTTCAATTTAAGCTATAATTATGTGCAAATAGAACAAGGCCTACTGACACAGAACGTTTTTGAAATCACATTAAAAAAATCAGAAATCTTGGAGATAAAGAGTCAATTTTTTTCTTTGGATCTTAATAAGTGCTATAAAAAAGAAAAACTACTGTGAAAATACTTTCTCCAAAAACCAGTTGATCTTAAACAAGTTTCAAAGCAGGAGGTTTCTCCGGGTGTGGCATCTCATTGCTCTCCCCAAATACAGTCAAACCACAAGTTCTACCCAAACCTAACGTATAATACAGTCTCTGTGGTTTTCCCTGAAATAACTACAGCTGCTCAAAACCATCGTCTTTCTCAGGGAGCGGCTCCACCACATAATTACAGCTTGGCGACGTCACAAAAATGAACGGATTCAAATGGACTCGTAAATACCACAGGATTAGCAGGTGGCAAGATTTTACTTTTGCTATCTGCATTTTCATGTGGGATGTTTTCAAGACCTTGCAATACATTAGATAAATATATATTCATTTGTATTTATCATTTTCACAAGTGTACAACCTTAACAAATCCTGCATGCTCTGTAACTTTATGAAGAAAGCTTTCTTAATCCTGTCTGTTTTTAGTGTTTTATCATATTCGGTGAATTATTACAGAATAAAACATGAATAAAAGGAAATAAAATGCAAAGAATTACTAAATATTTATCGAAAGGAATCCAAAAAGACAAAAGTTTTTTTTTTCATCAAAAAAGACTAAGCTTTCTATATTTTAGTCTACATTATTTACCAGGTGTTTGTTAAAAAATAGATGCACAGTTTTCTTATTTTAATTGCTAAGAAATCACCTTTACCTATTGTTTCCCTTGTTTATTTTAGTGGGTTGTGTTATTTTTTTTAGTCTAGAAAAACATCACTTTGTAGTTAGATTTGAACAGGATATGCTAAAACAATTGCTGAATTTCACCAAATCTGCTTTAAAGAAGTTAATTTTGGAATCAAAGTTAACTGTAATTCCAAAATATAAAATTTGGACATTAAGAGATGAATATTTTGTTTTGCAACTAACCTTTTGCAATTTTAACACACACACACACATATATATATATATATATATAT